TAATGTTGGTTTAAATCCTGAGAATATTTACTCCTAGATGAAAGGTGTCCTGGGTTTAGCAGCAGCAGTCATTTTTCTCTTTCTTGGTAGCTGGTGCAGTGCTGTGTTTTGACTTCCAGGCTGGGAACAGAGCTGATAAAAATGATGTTTTGGTTTGGCCAAGGACTTTGTGAGCCTCATGCTCTGCCAGGGAGGAGGGGAAGCCAGGAGGAAGCAGAGACAGGACGCCTGACCCAAACTGACCAAAGAAGTATTCCATACCACAGCACGTCATGCCCTGGATGTAACTGGGAGTTACCCGGAAGGGCTAGGAGGGACTGCAGGGTTGGAGGAGGTATTGGTCGGTGCTTGGTCGGGCCGGGGTCGAGTTATTGGTCGCCTGGTGATGGGGTGTTGTATTCTCTTCCCTTGTTATTTCCTTTATCATTACGATTATTGGTGGTAGCAGTAGTGATTTGTGTTATACCTTAGTTACTAAACTGTTCTTATCTCAACCCATGGGAGTTGCATTCTTTTTGATTCTCCTCTCCAGGAGTAGGGGGAGGGCAAGAATGGGGGGGGGAGTGAAAGCTGTCTGGCTGGGGTTAAACTACGACAAAGGCAAATAAAGTCTGTGGATGCAGAGGTACAGATTATATACACACTTAATTTGACTTCCCAGATTATTGTGTCTACTTATTCAGCAATAAATATGAATAAAATACTTACTATTTCATTTTTATGTTGCTTGACAGTATTGAAATTGAGCATTAAAATAACATTAGAGTAGACAGCTCTGCATGAGCTCAGTATCCTGAATGTGTTAATATAATTGTAGCTACTATGTTGATAAAACTGAGGGTCACATATTTGTCTTGCACAGGCAAATTTACACAAGTTACTTTTGGAAAATTTGAAACTAACTGCAACTGAACCTAAAAGTGGTTTATTTATCATTGTAGTATTTTGTTTTTAAACATCACTTGGGCAAATTAGCTGCACAGAAAGGACAGAATATAGGAGTCACTGCCTAATACTGAGACTTGTAAATTCTTAGGTGTATTTGTTACAATTTAAAACGGAATTTTAACTGACATTTCTTGGACCATTTATGCTTTGTCTTCCTGAAGTTTAAAAAACCAAATCCAAGTGTAGAATATTCAGCCTTTTGATCTAAAATAAAGTTGCCCTTTCATCCTGAAGGGCTTATACAGCCTAGTCTATTTGTAGAATCTTAAACTTTGCTGATGCCTGGTGTTTGCTCTTCACATTCTTTTTTTTTTCTATTTGCATTATATAAATTTTAAATTAATATATTTCACTGCTTTATGCATGCTTTCAGACTGTTTATGGATGCTTTCAGAACTTCAGCATGTTCATACAGAAGTATTGGATAAAACCCTGTAATTCCCAGCACAGCTGCGTAAACCTGGCTTTCATTTTTTTGTTATGTGTAGTGACTTTTAAAGACAAATGGGTACTTCAGTCTAAAACAAGTGAGATGACGTGCTTTAATGTAGTCTGGAAAATCACCTTTCGTGTTTTCTGACCCCTGTTTCGTCAGCTGTTTGACCATGTGCATTTTCTTGTACAATGCAAAAGCCACCAAAAGGTACATATTTCTTGAATTGCAGGTAGGATGGATTCCATATGAAAGAAAGAAGAGAAAGAGAGACAGTGGTAAATGTTCGTAACTTTTTCTTCATTGTGTATTTCTTTGTGTGGCTCATGAAACAATACAACATGTAACAAGCTGTTTGTAATATGGCAGTGCGGTTGTATCATAGAATCATCCATACAAAGTATGCCTTTTAATAGATGAAGGACATACCTCTTTTCATACTATTAATCTTATCATTGCTTCTCCAAGCCTGGACTGGACTGATGTTTGACTGAATTCTACAAATCCAGCACTATTTCAGGTGTGAAAAACTTAAATGCATTTTCATACTAACACTTTAGAGAGTAGTATATGCACAGAAATGTATTTTTCTGGAATGGTAAAGAATACAAATTATATGATAACAACTGTCAACATGTTTGCAACTGGTAAATACCAGCAATATAACACTGATTTCTTTACTTTGCAATGTATACAGTTTGGATTAAAGTGTCATTATTAAAAATATGGAACATATTAGGACCAGATAGCATTAAACATTACAGATAATACAACTCCACTTTTTTTTTTTTTTTAGATTGGGTTTAGCAGTGGCATCAGAATTGGAGATGAAGTAAGACCTTTTGTTGTTGTTGCTGTACCATTATATTTATGAATATTTAATTCTTTAAGAGTTGTCATAAAGCATCAAAGAGTAGAGAAAATATCTGAGCCAAGACAAGTAATACCACAGAAGTTATTTTGGCTTCTTTACTGAAAATCTGAGTGCTTCCCAAGTATTCAGAAAAGAAGTAGCGTTTGGAATTTTTTCCCTCTTTTTCTCTCCTATAGAAGAAATGAAATGACATCCAGCTTTTCTGTTGGCTTTGCTGTTTAGGAGTGCTTAGTGTGTGTGCACATGCATATAAATAATTCCTTTTTGATGTAATTTTTGCCAAAGTTCCCTCATTTGAGTGACATTTTTGCCCCATTTACATCAATGTTGAAATTTCCATTAGCTTCCCCAAAGCTGGGATTCCATCTGTTTTGCCTAAGTTCATTGTAGTTCGGTCTAATGTGTTTAAAAGCATTTATATTTTAATTGGCTCAGTGGAATGCAGTTGTCATGACCAGCAAATTTTGCAGAGGACAGAAAGGATCATCTGGCAATGAAGCTCACATAAGGGCTTAAACAATGGAATAGAAATACTAAGCTCTACATTTAGTGAGAAATAGTATGATAAGTGGCATTTAAAATTAATTTCCTTTTTAAAGAATGGTTTTCAAGTAGAATACTGCTGCATTTATAGAGTTTGCAGCTTCATTCCTGCATATGCATTGTCATAAGCAACACAAATTAAAAATGTGGGTCTAACAAGATGGAGACAAATCTGTTAGCACCGCACAGCCAAGAGTGAATTATGCTACTTGGCTGGTTTGGGTAGCTAATTGTGCTGGAAAAGAAACAAAGTTTGGAAGTGAATGTTGGCAATAAGGAAAGATCTTATACAAAAAATAAGTCTGTCCCTTTTCCACCTTGATTCTTTCACCTTTCTTCCCCCACATCTTGCCTGCAACTGCAGCCGTAGTAAAAGCTGTTCAGTGAGAAGTTCATCCTTCACACAGGAGATGGAATGTGCTTTGCATGTCTGTGCTAAGTATGGTTTTAAACTTCTGCTTCTTGTTGTATATGCCTTGGCCTTTGCTTGGATCCGGGTCTAATCCTATCTTCTGTGTGCAAGCAAGTACTTTAGCTAAGCTTATAGCCAGCTGGAAAACTGTTACTGCAAGGTATCATGGGATACTGTGCATTTCCTACCGGTGCTTCAGCTCCTATCTTCAGTTTTTCTAGTACTTCCTGGGTACAAAGGACATGAGAAAATGTATCGAAAATGTATTAACGATGTATCTCTGGAGTGCACCAGCAACTGCAAGTGAACAAGGCTGCCAGTGCTGGGGGTTTCTAAGCTGTTTATGATGAGACTGATGTTTTGCCACTTGTGGTTTTGCTGCTTATCTTGCAGGTGACAGGGAGAGAAGACCCTTTTTTAGCTCATGACAGAAGTTTGTAAACAGTAAGGTTTTCTTTGTTCCAAATTTTCATGTCATTAGACATGCAAGACTGTATTCATTAATGTGAACAGTGTTATCGATAAATATGTATGTCAGTCCCTAGCGTCAAGGTTCTCAACTAGTATAAATCACTGTAATTCCTTAAATTTTGTGAACTGGCATAATCCTGTTTAGTTGAAGACCTGGGCAGAGTACAGGAAGCATGTATGTTAGCCAGGGAAGGTTGTAGTGGTTTCTAATTCTTCTACTTCCTGCTTTCATACTGATGTGGAATGTGTTGAAGTTGACATGATCTAAATAAGGTATTTTTAGTTTTCTATTTGGAGTGTTGATATCTCAGTAGAACAACATCCTTGGTTTAGGGGTTATGTTTCATTATTGCTTCATAGGAAATGAAGACTCAGTTTAGATCTGGACTTCTGAGCAACACTGAAACTTTGAGGGACAGAAATATTTCTTTAAACAAACTGTATGTGCAAAATGTTATGCAATTGAAATGCTCAGCAAATTCAGAACTTAAATTCACTGAAATTAGTAAGACTGTATATTCATGTAACAGAGCTGAATCCAGATGTTTAGGGCATATAAAAAGGTTTAAAGAATTTTGTAGATTGAAAGAGCAATAAGAAATGGAGTTCTTTTCAAATCAAAACCGATAATGCTTTTCACTGGGAGCAGAGCTTTTACAAAGGGTCTTTCAACTGAGGATCTTGGACCTCTGCTTGAAACAGTGACTTTGGACTCAACACTGAAGCCTTTATCAAATGAAGTGAAAGGGAAGGGAGTGCTCCAATGACTTGTCAGCTGTAGGACTGGGCTCTTGCGCCTCGCCCCATGAAGTAAGGAGGCTTTACTTTCTATGGTTTACAGAATGAGCAAGTGAGCAGTGTGACTTGCCTAAAGTTACACCACAAGGCTGTGCAATAAAACACCTTAGCAGATGAACATAAGCTGCAATTTCATCTTTCTCTCATGATTCTAAGTTGGGAAGAGCAACAACTGTTTTGAAATTTAAACCAGAAAGATACTCATACCTTTCCATGTGATTTGTTGGGTATCCTGGCTAGTTATCTTGGTTGAAATGAGGAAGCACTTTTCAAATCCTGTTGGAAGTGTGAGGGGAGAAGCAGAAAGCTAACTCTGTGAATTTTCTGACCTGAAGATCAGTCGGACTAAACTGACGTTAAGCTAATAAACATTGATATGATACCACCTTCCTTCCTTCCCCTCCCTCCATCAGAATGCTTCTACTAGAAAAAGATAAAAAGTGTCTTGGATATATGTAAAAGAGATGTGCTCAGTTAAAGCCCCGCTTTCTCTGTCTTCTATGTATCTATTTCTAGTCATTCTACTTTTCTTCATCCTTCTGTCTGGTGTACATCTTTAAAATGCAATACGGAGAACTGCCACAAGCACACTTGGAGAACCCGAGAAAAGCAGAGTTTCGCACATTCAGATGAGAGCCAGTGACAGTACTCAATCTCACCATTTCATCACAGGCAGATGATATTACAGTGCAAGAACATTCAGGTTTGTAAATGGTGGGTTTTAAAAGGTAAAACAAATGTCAGTAATCTGCTGTGCTTTGCAGAATCAGTACCATAAATAGATGCACTCTTTTGATTACTTGGATGGCTCACTTTAGATTTATGAGAAAGTATATAAAATTAACAATGTGTGCTTACACAGAGGTGATAAAAGGTAGTTTCTGCTTGTGCTAATGTACACAGTTGGTTCTTTACAACTAGAAACAAGATACCCTGAAAGAGTTTCATACATCCATATTCTAGTATTTAATTAATGGGACTGCTTTTTCTTTCAGAGGAGGGGTATGGGGGGGTGGAGGGGGAGGCTGTAGGGGGAAGGAGAAAAAATAAACCAACATTTCTTACATTGTTACTGGACTTGGTATATTTAAGTATGATTATGTAAAATTTTCATCAGGGTGGCTGTTTGTCCTTTCTTACAGAGTATTCTGTGCTTGCTGAGTGGGAGGGTCACACTGTGTGAGACTAATAAGGACAGAGCTGCATCCCCCTCTACCACTCCTTGGAGACTCACTCCAGCAACTCCTCGGCACTACAGCAGCTCTGTACAGGCATTTCCAGTGCGTCTAGGGGACAGACTAACACAGACATTAAAGGTAAGCAACTCATTATTTATAGTTAGTTGTCTAAAGATCTCACATGCACACACACTCTAAACTATTCCTAGTTTGTTTTGTGGTGAGCTGATTCAGGGCTTTTATGTTTGTGTGGTTGTTTGGTGGGGTTTTTTTTCAAAATTGCCGTTTAAGTTTAGCACCAATTTTGCCAGTCGGTGTCCTATATAAACATAATGTATACAGTAAGCTTTTAATGTACCATAATCAACATATACTACAGGATTCTTCTCGTGATTCTGTTTTAGGGCAAATGCATTGTATATGTTTCTGGATAGCTATAGGTATGTGCTAAAATATGCTAATAAAAACAGCCCTAGTAAATTAAGCAGTAATTTACAAACCCAGTTAAACTGTTGCAAATTGCCACAGTGCTGAGCATGCTCGTTAATTGTATGCATATATTTACATTTAAAAATCTACCTATTGGTGTATATCATTATAATTAGCACGCATATCGAGTGGCCTACATCCAGTGAGTAGAAGCAAGCTTGCGCGCAGCGGCACGGCAGGGAAGCACCGTCAATGACTTCCAGAGCGGGGAGCCCGCCCGGTGCGGCAGCTCTGGGGCAGCCCGCGAGGCCGCAGTGACGGAAGCGGCCGCCACCAGCAGCCCCGCGCCGCTCCTGCTGCTCACCCGGCGACGGGGCCGCAGCGTCTCTGCCTGCGCCCTTCACCTGGCCGCCGCGCAGGTGGCGGCGCGGCCGGGCGGCAGGGGGCTCCCTCGTCCGTGCCCCTTCCAGCCCCGCTCCGCCCCGGGCCGCGGAGGAAGCGCCGTACTGTGCCTGACCCTCGCTCGTCTCGCTGGGGCCGGCCGTGTCCGACGCTCAGGCAGGGTCCGGGCAGGCGGGGCTGCCGAGCACGGAGAGAGGGGCGGTGGGTTAGAAGAGTGGGGGCCCGGGAGGGCGGGCTGTGGGAGCCGCCCGGGCCGGCTCCTCTCTGCTCCCCGCCTAGCCCCGCCCGCCTGCCAGGCTGCTTACCCGCCTGGTGTTCTAAACCCTCCCTTTAGCAAACCCAACTCAGTCCAAGATCAATTAGACTGCCGGTACTGCCGTGTTACGGACGGAGCTACAGACGGCTCTGGTCGCTCACCCCCCGCAAGCTGCGGTGCTCCGGTTGTGGCAGGGAGCAGAGCCTCCTGGAGCGGCGGTGGGAAAGGAGCCCAGCCTGGAGGTGGGGTAGCAGCGAGGGGGTGGTGGTACTAGTGAGCTAGCGCGCAAGAGCCCTTCGGAAAATGAGACCTCTGGAGCAGCAGCTCTAGTGAGTCACTAGTGCCTGCTTGTAAAGCAGGTGCAGGAAATTAAATGATAATGTTACTTGAATGTGCTACACTGCTGATGTTGGGGAGGCTGGAAAAGTTAATGATGATGTAGTTGTCAGTGTAAGTGACTGACAGTACAGCTCTGATGCTGAATAAGGTGCGTTGTGAAAATAACCATAAAAATCGCATCTCAGCTATGTGATTTGGTTTTCTTTCAGAAAATATTATTAGGAAAGTACTTTTTGTTTACTGTGTTTCATTAAATTCACATCTGTCTGTACGTTGCAGCCAGCTTAAAAAAGAATCTCTTAACTGCCTTAGAGGACAAAGATATGCTGTTGAAACCAAGATTTTATTTTGTGAGATTTAAACAAAGCTCAGCACAGGCTGCTCTAGGCACGTGCATATTTTGCCAAGCCAGAGAAATATTATTATCTTGATTTCTTTTGCACTTACAGGACAATTGCATGTTGTCCTTGTTTGGTTTGAAGACTACTTCAGCAGTCACTGGCACTGTTGTGACACCAGACAGTTTAGCTAATGTATTTAAAATTGAAAACCTGTGAAAAAAGTAAAAGAAAATTAGTTATTACTAATGAAACAAAAATTTAGTGCCTTTATAACTGATGTCTCTGAGTTGATATTTCTAAGGTATTACTTCTGAGTTTAGTAAAGAACCAAAGGAGTTTATTTGTCATTTGTTTCTGAATTTACATAAATTGTGAGGTTTTTAATTTTAGGGTTTGGTTTGTGGTTTTTTGTTGTTTTTTTTTTTTTTTTTTGATAGCTCCTTGCAACAGATAAATCAAACAGGGTGTGATTAGCAGCTTACTATTTACAGCTCAGAAATTCTTGTTTGTAGTTTTTTGATAGGGTGAGGGAAAAAGAAATGGTTCTGAATATTCTTATTTTCTGTTTCAGATTTGTTGCTGATTGTTCACATGCGTCCAGGGGGAGATGAAGTACATTGGATCATGCATAGTTTGGCTTTGTATGGCAGTCTTCCTCCTTCTTCCTGTTTCTACTTCTGTGGCTGTCAGTGACCACACAGGTACGTCTATTTTTCTTGCCCATCACAGACCTAAGGCTTAAATCTCAGTACTGAACAGATTTAACAAATAATGGCAGTACATGGAAAATAAGCAATATGAGCAGATAATGTTAATACAAGAATTGTTTTAATATCTCTTTTTAAAAAGTGTAAGTTTGAAGGAGTTCCAAAGCAGTCCTTCTGTTTCTTGTGCTTGGAAGTTTCAGGTTTGGAAGCAGTTGTAGTTCCTTGGAGTTTCATTTTGTATTTTTTCAGCTTGCTATACAAAACAAGATTCTAAATCGGAGCTTGTAAAACTTTTGTGAACAATATCATGCAGCTTTGTTAGAGCAGATCAGTGATCACACTGACCTAAACAACCAAATGCTCATGTTAACCTCATCTAAATTTAACCATATGTTTCACAGATGTAGTTAGACAAACTCTTGTGCCTAAGAAAGGGGAAAGAAATGTAGTGCTATTGCTTAACTTAAAAGCTGTTAACCTGTCTTCTTCAAATTTTTCATACTTCTCTGTTTTCTTACTGTTCACATGTTATCTAGTTCTCTCACTTAAACTCTGCATCGACTCTCCAGAGGACGGTAAAGTCTATCTTAAAGGCATGTCACCTGTGTACGAGGAGTAAGCAATTGTCAGTTTTCTGTAGTTGCTCAGCCTCAGAAAGTATCCATGTACTTCAGCTTTGTAGAATTTTCCTACAATTATTAGAAAGGAGAACATGCTTGTTGCTATTTATTTTTAGTAATGCTGTTTTTCCAGAAGCGTGATGAAGGATGATAGAAGCTATACATACACAACAACTTTGTATCTTTGTAACATATTTGAAACTTGGGTCCAATAAATTTAAAAAGTTAATAACTAGGGTAATAATCCTTTTACTACTCTTGGAAACAATAAATAGTAATATTTAATAAGCTAAAATGTGTGGGCTCTAAAACAAAAATAATGTCCTGTGAGAAGACTTTTTAACCTTTCATTTTTAGGGCAGCAGGGCTAAGTGCTGTACTGATCAATTATTCTTAACCCTGTGCAATCATTCTCTTCAGCTGTCTGAAAGCAGTCCAAGGGGTTGTCTTCTGTGTCATTGCTAGCTGGTGGCTTGTAGAAAGGGAGTTTTGAAAGTGCCGAAAGGGTGCGAGTGCCGAAGGTTCCCTAGTAATATAAATGAATAAATGGAAATTTGAAACATTTTTGAAATAAAATGCCAGGAAGCATTGACTTTTTTTAATTATATTTGTTTTTCTTAATGAAAAGCTGTCTTAGTAAAAGGTGGACCTGTCACAGGAGGTTTGAGAGCTCCACTGAACTGCTAAGAAATGATGTATCCGAACTGTGCATTACGTTCTGTTAGAAGCTTGTGGTTAGGCAGCCACAAGTGGGGAAGTTGCAGTTTTCCTTAATCTGATTGCCACGGATGGATCAAATACGGGTCAAATTGAGCTGCTGGGCATAACAGGGGAGACTGAACCTCTCCTGAGTATAACTGATGGTATGCAGTTGAGAGAGGCTTCTGTAGTTAGTGGTGATATAAGCCGATGGTGAGGAGCAGCAAGTAGATAGCTGCCAGCTTGAGCAGTTCTGCTGACAGCATAGGATAGGCTCAGTGAAGCCTTAAATTGATAACAGGAAAGAGACTCTTCTAAGGACTGAAGGGATGGTTACTGTCAGAATTAAAAATATGAGTTACAGACCATAAAGCAGGAGCTGAGAAAGAATGGACCCTGCGGTGGTGCAGCAGTAAGCAGTACAGCTGTGTCTGCAAGTGTTCTGTTAATTTGTACCATTCAGCTGAACAGAGTACTCTCTGTTGCAGAGGTTTCTTATCTTAGTTTGATAATTTGTATGCAGATTATGCAGATGGATCTGTTAAAAACTGGAAATGTGCTCACTTTGAGAAGAGAGGAGTATCTAATAAGGTGGTTTTTTTGTTTGTTTTTTTTTTTGTTTTTTTTTTAGTTCTTTTTGTCATTAATTGTCTCTGTCTTGAGCTTTTGTTCTCTCCCATGTATCAGTTCACCAGTTCTGTTTGGATCAGCATCTATCCTGCAGAATCTGCATAGCCAATCCTGTTGGTTTTCTCTTTTCGGCAGCATGTTAGCATTTGTTTTTCCAGCAAAGCCCATTCAGATCAGATCTTGGATTATTGCATTTGCATCCTGAAATTTCTCACCTGATCTACTTAAGTCGAAATTAATGGCCTTCAAATGCAGCGAAAAGTGTAAAGTTAATTTAAAGGGGGATAACAGGCAGAAGTGTCTTAGGCGAAGGAAACCTCTTAGGCAAGAGAAAGGATTGATTTATATGCATATGTAGGTAAGAGCTTTCTGAGCTGGCATTCTGAATATACTTTGGGACTTACTCATTGGGTCAGTATTGTAATAAATAAATACCAGTACTGGAAACCAAAAAGAACAGAGAGTGACTGAGTATGCTGGATCTTCTCAGAGTGGTCTACCTTAGGCTTTAAATGTATGTCAGTGACCATTAGATTAACAACAAGGATTTCTTTCGGTTCTCACCTGCCCAGAAATTTTGATATGCTGATTGTTCACTTGCTTTGAAGCACTTGATTCTAATGACAGAATATAGCAAATCTGAGGGAGAGGGTTCAGGAGTTCTCCAGAATTGTGGTTTTTGATTTGACTTCAAGAGTATTTTCTTCATGACGTCAACTTACACCATTTAATTTTGGGGAATGTTTGGATTTGGAGTGTGGATATGACCTCTTTCTGTAGTGACACATGAAGTTCTAATTTGATCATTCCTGAATGTTTCATATTAAGAAAATTAATACTTTGTCTCACTCCCAGATCATTGCTGATTTTTCAGCTTTGTTTTACAGTTACTGTTTTTCAAAACCACTTGCTAACCCATGAAAAACGTAGCATAAACAAAGTCCTGGGACTGACAGGCATGGTGAATTTCCATTGCCTTTTGACATGGAATGTGTTGTGAAAAGTACTGGCTCTAGATCATAATTTAGATAGGCACTTTAACCCAAATACAGTGAGTTGTTTCAAGTATGCAAATCAGTTAAGCTTTTTGGTTTTCATTTTTTAGTGTGGCTAGATACTTCTCAAAATCCAGTTAATGGCTCTACAGTAACTCTCATATACAATATAGTCATATTGTTAATCTGAATTTTTAAGGTTGGATCCCACAAACTATTGCTAGCATTGCAGTAGTTAAGTGACCGGCCTCCCTTGAATTCCTTGTAGTTAAATGATAAGTCCTTTGTGGCAGTGAGTAAGGATTTTTAGATATTTATAAGAATGTGGTTCATGAAAGCTTGCATGCTGAGGAAAGCCACATCAGCTAGTGACTGAGTAGCATGGAAATGTTCCCCTTTGTGGTCTGGGATCTTTCTCAGCTACACACATCCTCCCAGTGTGAAGCCTGTAAACCAGATTGGCCTTTTTTTTTTTTTTTAATGGAAAGGCAGAGAAAGAACTGTACATCAGTACAGTTATACACTATATTAGATCAGTAATATCAGTTACAGCCATGATATTCACTCATGATATAATGGAATAGTTTGGGTTGGAAGGGACCTCCAAAGATAATCTAGTCCAACCCCACTGCAATAAGTAGGGACATCTTCCACTAGATCAGGTTGCTCGAAGCCTTGTCTAACCTGACCTCCATTGTTTTTAGGGATAGGTCATCTACCAGCATTGTGGGCAACCTGTTCCAGTGTCTCACTACCCTCACGGTAAAATATCCTTATATCTAGCCTAAATTTGCCCTCTTTTATTTTAAACAATTACCCCTTGTCCTATGCAAGCCCTGCCAAAAATTTTTTCCACATCTTTCTTATAAGCCCCCTTTTAAGTATTGAAAAGCTGCAATAAGGTTTCCCTGGAGCCTTTTCCAGACAACACTCTTAACCTTTCCTCATACGACAGGTGCTCCATCCCTCTGATCATTTTTGTGGCCCTCCTCTGGACCTGCTCCAACAGGTATGTGTCTTTCTTGTGCTTAGGCTCCAGGTGAGGGCTCACAAGAGCACAGTAGAGAGGCAGCATCACCTCCATCAACCTGCTGTCCACACTTCTTTTGATGCAGCCCAGCATAGAAAGCCCATAGGCTTTCTATTCTGTGAGAGCACATTGCAGGATCATATTCAATTTTTCATCCACTAGTACATCCAAGCCCTCAGCAGGGTTGCTCTCAATCCCTTCAATCCCCAGTCTGTATTGATACTGGGGGTTGCCCTGTTCCAGATGCAGCACCTTGCACTTGGCCTTGTTGAACCTCATGAGGTTCACATAGGCCCACTTCTTGAGCTTCGCCCAGGTCCATCTGCATGACATCCTCTCCCTCAGTCACACCAGCCACACCACACAGCTTGGTGTTGTCTGCAAACTTGCTGGGGGGTGCACTTGATCTCATTGCCTTTGCCACTGATGTTAAACAGTGTTGTTCCCAGTACAGACCCCTAAGGGGCGCCACTCATCACTGCTCTCCATCTGGACATTTCAGCTGTTGACTACTACCCTCTGGATGTGACCATCCAAACAATTCCTCATCCACCAAACAGTCCATCCATCAAACCTGTACCTCTCAAAGTTAGAGAGAAAGATGTTGTAAGAGCTGTGTCAAAGGCCTTACAGAAGACCAGACAGATGACATCTGTAGCTCTTCCCTTTTACATTGATGTAGTTACTCCATCATAGAAACCCACTAGGTTAGTCAGGCAAGACTTGCCCTTGGTGAAGCTGTGCTGGCTGTCTTGAGTAACATGAAGTCCTGTCTTTAACTACCTATTCTTCCTCATGGGAGAATCCAGTTATCCAGGATTTAGCATGAGCATCCCAGTATCTCAACTCTATTGGTGTGGATTTCTTAATCCTGCCTACCAAAGCTGTTATGTTATTTGCATAGCCATCTAAATAATCACAAGGCTTGGAGTTGACTTCTTTCTTATAGCAACAAGGTTGTAGATTCAGTCTCCTTCATTCCCTTCCCACTCTTGTCTAGTTAACATGTATATTATAATGTAATATGATGTAGCTTATGGAGTAGAAAAGGAAAACAAAAATATCACATCTTATTTTCTGGTACCTCTATACATGAGGTTACAGGCATGTAGGGAATCTGAATTCTTGACCTTATTTGAAAGCAGGCCAGCTGGGTCTGCTTATCTTTGAGGTGGACTCTTTGGATGCTGTTGCTGACGCTTGCAGATATTGTCACACACTCTGAAGTGATTCCTTATGTGTATATATTTAGGAAGCCCGATCCTAAAGAGTGTGAGACAAATCCTAGCTAACACCGATTTCTGCCTGAAGCATGAGTCTGACATATAATGTGGGCGTATGTTAAGCAGGGCTTTGTTGTTTGGCCAGTCATGCTTACTGATGGAAATTTTGGTACCTTTGCAATGTGCATGTCAGCGGTGTTAGATAGCAGCTGGAAATTTCACCTGAACATAAAGTTTAATTATAAAGTAGCAGATAGGTAGTTGTAAAGTGAATCTATCGATTACAGGTTACACTCTGGAGGATCCAAAAGTGCCTATTGGAAGCTACAGTTCTCAGTCAGGAAGTACAGACAAGAGATGTCTGTAAGAGTGAGACTGAAGCATTCACGAGAGGCTCCTCTGTCCTCATTTGCACGGGAAGGAAAACTGGGCATAGGGCCTAGATAGAAGCTGTAGCATGCTCCAGCAGGTGCCCTGATTACTGCAGGAATTGAGAATATGCCATTGCATGTTGCAGCAGAAACATCTACATGCAATGCCTTTATTTTTTTTCCTTAAAGCTATTAGAAAACAACAAAAAAATTACTAGCATCTCATTGGAGAGACAGATCCCCAGTGGTCTGTGACATCTGCTTGATCTGCAAATACATGTTTTTCAAAATTTTTAGGTTGATTTCATAATAGTAAGCTCCTATGTAGAGCTCATTGGTTTCTAAAAGCTGAGGTCTGTAGTTTTGTCCTACGGCTAAGTGATCTCATTAATTTAGAAGTATGTTAAGCTGAGCTTTGACATCACCATTTTAACATGAATTGTTGACTTCAGTCCACACAGACCCAGTTTTATCACATGCGGAGCAATATAGTCACAAGCATAATCTTGTTCTTTTCACTGCTTCATTAGTTTTACAGTATATATTCTAACAGAGCAGATAGGTGCATCGTTTCTGTGCCTGGATTAGCGGTAAGGGTTTGTCTTTGTTCTTTTTCTTCCTGAAAGTCTTCATGTAGATCTCCTAATTCAGCTACACACAGGATGAATGGATAAACTGTCTGTTTTGTCTCAGGCCAAAGAAAATTTCAACATCTGCCAGCACTACTAAAAATCTTGGTAGAGGCTAACTTATTTGTACAAACTGTAACTGTAGAAAGAATTTTCATCAATCTGCAGTAATGAAAGTTGTCAGTCTCGGTATGGAGAAGTTTTGGGTTTAATATTTTAGAGTTTTGCTTTAGCTCTCTGGTAAAAATAATAACACTGGTCTAAAGGAGTGCATCTGCAGCATGAGATAGAAGAAGATTAATAATAACCCTTTCAGTTCTTCTGGGGATATGGAATACAACCAAATAAATAACAAATAACCTATGCTGTGACTGTTAGACCACTGATAAAAATAGGTCCACAGTCCAGTCTGTGGCATGTGTGGAATCATTGCTATCATCTGGATAACACAGAAATTGAAGCTTGAGTCTTTATTTGGACTTGGAAGAAAGTGTCTGGGGGGAATAAGTTAAAACTCCCCATTATTTTCCCATTCAGCTCTCATGTAAGACAATGTTGAAAAAAACACATACAGTTGTGTCCCAGGTTCTCTAGAGCTTACTATAGCAGTTCAGGGTAAATTCAGTAATAAGTATTATATGTCTGCTTTTGCTGTAAGTAGTGTAAATTAGTTTACCTTAAAAGGGAATCAGCCCCATCATCTTATATATATTAATAAAAAACCCTTGGTTAGAAAACACTTAAATTTAAGAAAAGCTTTTGTCAGTGTATGTGTGACATGGTATTGTGGCATTCAGCCATAACAGGCTTCCTTTTCAAGAATATATTTCTTATAGGTATACACGTGTAAATCGTCTATAATTGCATTCATTGTTTTGAAATGGCTATAGATGAAAGTCTGTAGTTTAATAATCTGTATAACTGAAGAAGACTAAGGTTTGCAGATTAAAGGGTATCTGAGGTGAGCTTCTTTCTGTTCCATATGTGCACAGTGTATATGTGCATATAGCAAATGGTGTATTGAAATTGCTATGGTAGTATGTAATTCCAGTGAATGCTTTTCACACTACATAAAACTCCCTGCAAACCAAGAATGATGAAAGATTTCATTTCAGTTTCAGAGATTTCAACGTGAATATTCTTTACAGTTCTGCATCTTTTCTGCTGAAGGGAAATTTACAGAGTTTTTAATGCATGTTTCATCTCATTTGTCATAAAAATTTATGTAAATGCACATATATGCAGACATTTATTTGTGCATAAATGAAGAAAGGAATACATTTTCTTAGAGCCTTAGAAATAAATTATGAGTGATGTTACTTGTAATTGTAGATCACAATTCAGAGGTAAAGGGCATGGGAATTGATGAATTTTATGAAAAAATGCCTTTAACCTGGTCTGTCCTTTAAACAATTGACATACCTCTCATTAACCATATTGTCAGGAGGTATCTTTAAATTAAATGATTTAGTTTCACTTTTACTGGTTGTTTCCAATTATCAGTTTTTAATCCGGATCAGGTACACTAACATATTTAGAACATAAGACTTTTAAAGGATAATATGCTTTCTACATTGCTACAGAACAAATGACAAATTTCACATGCTTTAAGATTATAAATACAGTTATTTTGCATGCCAGCCTTCAGTCTGAATGCTCCTTGGAAATCTTTAGATATAGATGATTTTCAGGTTAGTGGTAGGACGTTCCTCCTTTTATTTTTAATTGAAATGACACTTTGGAAAGTCCCCCCCATTCAGCAGCTTCAGCTATACCTTGGCTATCTTTTTAGTTGCATCAGCTCAATATGGAGCTCTGTGCTTGGTTAAGTGCATGGGTCAAATCCTGCTTGTGACCTTTGACAGTTTTATTAGAGTTTAGCAGGGCTATTTGCAAAGTTTGTTTAAAAAAGAGCCCATTTTCTGATCCATGCACAAAAGTCATATTTCTCTGCACTTGCTTCTTAAAAGTATCTATTCCTGTGTATGCATAGAAATAAGAGAAAAAATGACTTTATGCAAGTAAGGTATTTAATATTAATAATGCAGTGTTTAATCAAAGTGTTCAGTTTGATTTAACCTTAGAATTTGCCATGTTCCACATGCTAGAATATGCTGGTTGTTTATCTAAATACAAACTTAATCCCCCCAAAAGCTGCTTAATTGTAAGCCATTAAAATAAAAACCTATTGCTTAAATTGTTTATTATATAATTATATTCTTTTAAATCCACATTTTGGAATTGTTTTTCACTGAAGTAACAATAGATTATTGTCATGGTAATCAAGCATTTATGCTTTATTGTTTCCTGTTCCTTAGTAAGGGAAAAAGGTTTTCTAAGAATATAGCCAGAAATAAAAACTAAAACAATACACAACAGCAACAACAACCAAACAAAACTGCTAAGCCCCTTAGGACAGAGGTTATTGCTTTATAGAGTACTGTACATGGAGAGAGGCTGGTAAGAATTTAGTGCTTTTTTTTCTGGTTATATTGTTCTGTGAGCTTTAATCATAAACAGCCGAATTAAAGCATGATAAAATTTGTATCTGCATATATTATTAGAAGTGTAGCATGTAGTCTGAAATATTTCTCTTATTTAGATTTTGTAATTCGTTTATTGCTGGTTAGCATATTGTAAAGAAAGAAAATGAACAAAAATATTCTTGTTAATATTACTATCACTGTCATGGTAGTTCGTTCTGATTATTTTTGTTTGAAAGAAATGTATAAAATATGCTAAACTGTATTCTCTTGAAGGTGCTACATGTCCTTTACTGAAAACTGTTCATCATCTCAAACAAATCAACAGAGGCGGTCTTGGTATTTCAGGTAACTGACTGTACTCATATCAGTATCTAAATTAATTTTCTAGTAGTGGATGTAATTATAGTTTGACTGAAACTGGCTTTTAAAACTGAAAGGACCATATGGAATGCCACCCCCATGCTCCAAAAGCTGTTGTTGTTAGGAAAGGGGTTAAAATCAGAACATGGTGTTCTTACAAAGTATTGGTTCAAGTGCTTCAGCCATACTCACTTCCATTGTTTTTATCAAATGTCCTTTGTTCTTATCAGTTCAGGCGATAAAAAGAAATAAAGAATGCATTTCTCAGGTTGCAAAGTCATCTAGTGAGAGAATTTTGCACTGATAGTTTCTTTGTCGATAAAATGAATATTGGAAGTTTCTCTGACTTAAAAGTACTAGTTTTCAAAGTAGCTTGTCAGTCCGTGCTTTGGAAAGCTAGCAAGCATACTAAAAGTCAGTATTTACCTTGTTTTTTTTAAATTCCATTAAATAAACTAAATCATATTTCACAGGGTTTGATCTGGCAGAAAGCTTTTCTTTGAGGCAAACGTCTTGTGGAGGTGAAAAAAACTGCTTTAAACTGGGAAGCGCGCCTCTCGTCAGAGACACAAAGTAAGTAGATATAGTTTCATCTGAAGCCTTTAAAAGACAGAGCTCAGACCAAATGCTGTTAGTGTATTGAAACACTGGGCAGTGTATCCGGAGGATACCACAGGAAAACAAATATGTCTGGTTTTAGGCATTTTTATCCGTAACAGGTTTTTTGGGAAGTATTTTGGTGGAGGTGTGTTTTTGTTTTTTTTCTTCTGCAATCTGGAAATATCTAGGTAGAAAGTAAATTGTGAATATTTCTCAAATTTGGATTCTGATACTGAAAGATCTACTGTTTATACATAAATATTAACGAAACAAAGGAAACAACTTTCATGGTGTGGCAAGACTTATTACACTAATCTTCCTGCAGTGGAATTGGTTGTACTCTCTCTGATTAGGGTTGATGAGATTAAAAAGAAAGGGAAAATCAACATTACCTTAAACACTATAATTTAATGTTTTGGGGTTTGGTTGTTGGGTTTTGGGTTTTTTCTGTTTTTTGGGGTTTTTTTGTTTTTGGTTTTTTTTTTTTCAGTGGAATTGGCATTTTTTCTTTGAGCTGCAATAGAATGTTGGGTGCTCAGTGTAAAGGTGGTAATACACACATCCCACTCTGGCACAGGGTGGGATGAAAGGCAGAAACTGCATAAAAATCTAAAGGTTGGTGAAAGAGAGAAAGGCACAATGGAATTGGATGGATTTAAGTTTGCATGTGGACGAGGAAATGGCAAGAAGGAGTTAGGAATGTAGTTTCATGTTCCAAATGCGCAGTGGAGACAGAGGATCATCTCAGACCTTCTTGGTTCAGATGTGCTCTGAGTCATGGGACTGCGGTTTCTGTACAGCATGTTCCTGTGATGACAAGGGAAGCAACTGTATTAGGTGTTCTCTGTTGCAAGAGGTCTGTCTAGCTTGCCTAGGGAAAAATACATCTGGCCCTCAGACTTCCCCTTTGTTTGGATCCTAGGCAGAGCCAAGAGGGGCTGTGGATAGGTTGAAGCCAGGGGAGAGGGAGAAGAGGAATTGGAGGCACCCAGACAGAAACCAAAGTGATCTTTAGGAGAGAAAAATTCTGAAATAAATAGAACCTAAATATTTGAGATTACTGGATAGTTTCTAAGTTCTTCTGAGGTTATTAGATAATGTAAATTTTAATGCTCATGTAATCATGCAAGGTTAAACAAATAATGGCTATCTTTTTTTAAATACCTTGGGTGTCATCTGTTGAAAGAAAAATGACTAAATAAAATTGCATGACACAGAGTGTGCTCTATTTTTAGTAGGGCCTTCCAAGTATTATAAGGATTCTCTTTGGAAAAGTAACAGGTAAAATTAAGTACCACTCATACATATCTTCACTAAAAATATTTTGAAAGTTTGTCAGTAAGAAAACGTTTTTGTTAAATCTATTATTAATTTTTCAGAGTTTTATAGTTGGGGTTTTGGTTTTTTTTTCAGTGGATGGGAATTTGAGGGAAATGTGAGACTAGAGGAGTAGAAAATCAAGACAATAACAAAACATGTGGGGCAATTTTTTTAGGAATAAAAGCTAAGTAGTTCTTTGTGTGCAGTGTAAGCTGACTTAACTTTATTCTGAAAGTGGCCAAAATGGAGTGTGAGTAGCTAGAAATCACAAAAGGGCAAATGATTTAGAATTCATGTTGTTTTCGGGGAAAATTCATCATTCAAAAAGATTGATTTCTAAAAATTCATGTTTTTTGGAAGGGTTCTGGCAGGGGATGTTGAGGTTGAAAATGTAAAGCTTTTTTCCTAGCTTTTATTAGTAGGTCTGAGTACTGCTGTCTGTAGTTTATTTTATTCTTATAAGAACAATTTATTAGAGGAGGCAGTGAAAGTGGGAATATGCAGCATGGCTGCTACTGGCTTAACAAAGCCTTATGTCCTAGTGTTTGCAAGGAAAACACTTGAGAAAGACACAATGCTTTTAACTTTCTTCATGAAGTGAGAGAGAAATCTAACATTTTTTCCTATGTTTTATCTCTTCAGCTTTTTGGAGCGAGAATGACTGTTAGAGACAAAAACGGTCAGGTTTTTTTGGTGGTGGTTTTTTTTTGGGTTTGTTTTTTTTTTCTCATTTTCAGTGTAAACTGGGCAAGGGATAAGGAACTTCAGTAAAGGATAAACCTGGAAGGCAAGTTGTTTGGCTTTAATGGTCTCTTGCTTCTCACCTTCCTCTCCCACCCTGTTTTCATCTGTGTATCCTCATTAAAGAAAAACTGAAGATAAATCTTTCCAGTTTCCCTAAAAATGTGCATATCTAATGGATGAAAACTTTAGTTGGATGAAGCAAGATAGTTATTAATAAAATGCGTAACAGTACTAATGTATGAATATAGTTAGGCTGAAAATTAATACTGTTACTGATGTTAAGGTGCAAAATAAGCTTTTCAGTCAGCTTACTGTGGAAATAAATGGTACTTCTTACATATATCTTTCTGAACAAAAAAAGGTTACAAGTATTTTCAGTAGCATTCAAGCACTGAAGAATTTCCATTAAATCCTAGTTCTTCATGGCAGTAGTCTTACTCATGCTTTTTTAATCTTTCTTCATGGAGAAATGCATGTCATGATTAAGAATAGAATTTTTTTTTGTTATTTTGCATCCAGTATGTTGAATATATTGAGCTTTATATATTGAGCTTTCTATCGTTGAGATAACACTTCAGACAAGATTTTTAAAAATTACTTAGTTCAAGCATTTTTTATACTCTTCTGAATTTCTGAGTTGTTTTTTAAACGTAAGGGCAGAGAGCAGTCAGTAGCACAAAGTCAGGTTTTGACATGGTAGGGCTACAGTGAAGGATACTCAGTAACTCTGATGTCTGTCTTCATAACCTAATAATTTACTTCATCTTAGTTATCCATGTACAATATCTTGTAACTTATTTTATTTAAATTTTCTTCTCTTATGTCAGACTGTGCGGTTCCAGATTCCCATGTTGTTAAATGCTTGGAGGTTTTTAGGAGCAGTCTGCCTCAGAAAATATTTTAGCAGACGTGGTGTGCAGTAAGCAGCAGAACAGTGTTTGTTATCCATCCTGCAGGAAACTGAGAGTATCTGATTAAGCTGACTAGCAAGTATCAAGTAACTTGGCACATCTCCTCTTGCATTTCATTCATTCAGTTGTAGTGTGGGTAATAGAAAGCTATGCTGTGCCATTTTTCTTGTGTGATGCCATTTTGGGTTTTTTCAATGGACCTGGAATAGTGTTGCACCTATTTATATGTTATAAATAATTTATAATGCAGTGTCAGCTTGGGAAATTTGTTATGTCTATATTGGATTTTGGTTATATGTCTTTATCTCTTTTTGTGAAGGAATTCCGTACATATTTTGTCTTGTGATAGGAGATGAATAGCTTTTCTTATGCTCCATGTAAAGGACTATTAAATATTTAGTTCTAATAATATTTTTCAGGATTTTCTAATTTTTCTAAAAATTAGAAATTTTTCTAATTTTTAGAAAAAAATCTAATTTTCTAATTTTTCTAAAAATTAGAAAATGTCTAAAAATTTTCATTTTTTCAGGAACAGAGAGTGATTTTTAAATTAAAATACTGTTACTTATTGCAGTTATTACATGGATATTAATAGAAGTTATTCCTGAGTAAAGTGGTGTAACAGCCTTTGAATACTAAAGAAATCTACGGTAAAATACTGTTATGCAGACAATCTAATTATGTAGTCATAATAATAGTAATCGTATAATGTTTTAATTTTATTTAAATGAAAACATTCTGGAGTCATATTTTGTTCTCTAGAGTTTAACACATACAGCCTATGCAGTATGCTTCAGTTTGGCACAGAGCTTGCTGAAAAAAGCAGCACAGGGCTAAGTGCTGATAGCAACTCCTTTACGTCTGCCAGCAGTATTCAGTACCCTGGACATGAAACCTTTTAAGCTAATGTTTGTTCTTTAGTTATGTTAAATATGATGAAATAATTTCACTGTCTTTCTCTGAAGACTCATCAGATGTCAGTTCCTCATTCTCTCTTTTCTGGGATGCTGGTGGGCCACTTCTTTTTTCCCTTCTCTGAAAGTGTCAATAAAGGAGATAGTACGTTGATTTCAGCTGAGTTTCAGAATGTTTTTGAAATGGATGTTTATGATTAGCAAATCTTGATGGCACAGTCATGGCTTTCTTATTTTGTAGTCTGTTTGGCTTGACAACCCATATTAATTTACTGAGGAGATTATCGTAGCTGTCTGTTAAATGATCTCAGAATTGGGATTGCTCCCACAACTTTTTTTAGGAATTATTCCCCTTTTGGTGTAAGATACTGCAAAAGAGCTTGGATTTTGACTGTATTTGGACTACTGAGCTCCATCAGCCATGTTGTCACTCTGGTGCCAGAAGAGCTGTGGATGTGGCTTGGATTGTATTTCAGAGAAATTGTTTCACCTCCTTGTGATGCCTAGTTACTGGATGCAGAAATCCTATTCCCACTTCTCTTAGTACATTGCAGGCTGGAAGATTCTTTCTGCTAAGAACAGAAATTGATGATGAAAGAATATTCATGTGGGGTTTTCTGTTTGCTTTTAATACTAATCTTTTTAATCCCAAAAAATGCTTAGGGAATTGTATTTCCTAGAGCATAGTTGGCCTCAAGGGTTTCTGTGCACACCGTTAGAACCCTTTTCATAGTTGTCACATTGCTTCCAAAGGTACCTATCTGTGGTAGCCTTTGCAGCCATTTACTTTCCTCTGGTTGCTCTGTGGTTGTATCTTGCATATGACTTCAGGTGTCACTGAATGTCCACATGGGCATAGGTTTTGATTATTTTTGCACATGGCATGCATTTGGGCAGCAGGTTTGGGTTCACTGTCTTCCTGAAAAATATTGGGTAGATATAAAAGATATATATATATATATATGTTAAGAAGTAACATACCTATTTCTTAAATACAGTATAGAATGGATAGACGTGAAAATACCCATTTCCAAAAGATTTAATCAGAAACTTTTAAAGCACCTTCTGAAAATGGCAATGAGGT